TTAGGTAAATGTCTACTTAGCGACACGTAAAGGCACTGATGATATACGAAGGGCAAAATGTAGGTCACAAAATAACAGGTTTCATGCGAGCCCACTTTTGTAATACACATAGTTACGTGCCTAAACACGCAAGAAAGCACCAGAAAGTTGCGTAACAAAATATTTATATTGGTGGCTCCTGGATGAAAAGATTAAGAGGTTTATGCATTTTTCTATATTTGCTAAAATTTATATTATTAGAAGATGTTGCTTTTATCAGCGCAAAAAAATGTAGGTTGTAAAAATAGAATAAACAAAGACAATTTGGGAGGATCTCAGCTTTGTGCCTTGTGTAAAAGATTGTGTCTAAAAATATCTTGAAAATACAACTCCCTTCAGATTCTTAGAGTGTCTGGACGCTCTTGAGCGTCCAGTGTCTCCTGAGCTACATATTGAATCTGTGTTTTCTTCTTGTTGGATGGTTACATCCATAACCTCCCTCCCAGCCTGCCTCAGTAACCTGCCATCTGTCTTCTCCCTGACCTGTTGAGGACTCACAAAAACATCAGTTCTCTCAAAAGCGTGGCACTTGGGAGCAACATAGAGGGAGACATGGAATTTTTATTGCTTTTCTTCTGTTTTCCTTTCTCCGGGTCCTCCTTTTTCTCTCTGCCTCTGCCCCAGTGGGGCCAGTGCACGTATTTCCTCCCACACTCAGCCCCCAGAGCCACGCTCTCAACTGTGACAGTGACGGCAGCCATCCTGGTTGTGATTTATCTTCACAAGTTGCCAAATCGCTCTTGGTAGCGTGTCTGTGCTTGGTGAATAATGAGAAAGACCAACCATCCATCTAAGGACAAAACAATGTGAGCAGTTACATTTAAATTTAGCTATTTCTGCCCCCCCCCCCCCAATCTCAGCTTACTTCTTCTTTTCTGATCGAAAAAGGCCCAGTTAAGGGCCTTTGTGGTAAATACCCAAGTAATTGTGTCACAAAGGGGGAGGATCATTTTTCACCAGGGTCAACGATCGCTGTGGATGAGCTGCTATCCTGAAGTTGCAAACTGTGCTCCAAGTCTGGTCTCTTAATAGCAATTGCTCTGGACCTTCAGAGGGGACTCATTTCAATGCCTGCCTATTAACTACTGAAGCTCAGGTTATTGTACCAGTTAATACCGTTTGTAAATTGCAAAAAGACACAACCTCTACGTAAGGCAACACCGGGGAGTTGGATATGTCTCCCTGACAAACAATCAGGAAAGGATGAAACACATAAATATAATCTCCACCTGATGTGACAGCACTGAGGTTTGGGGAGAGGGAGCTCTGGGGATGAGCAGACCTGAGTTTGAATCCCTGCTCAGACACTTATTGTCTAGCTGTTTGACTCTGAGCAAATTATGTATTCTCTGCACCTGCTCCCTCATCTACAAAATGGATTATTCACACCTATTGGAGGGATTTTAGGAAGGTATGGCAGATTGTGTTTTCTGAAGACGGCAGTGAAACGATCTCCCGTGCCGTGATTTCTAGAACATACCCACTGTCTTATCCAGAAGTAGAGTCTAATTTTCCTTCCCTTGAGTCTGGGCAGATTTCCGACTCACTTGTGACCAACGGAATGTGGCAGGAATGAATCCGTATGCCTTTTGAGTATGGGTCATAAAAGTTTGCAGTTTCTGCATCGCACTTGGCATTCACACCTGGACTCTGAGTAAGAAGTCCAAATACCCTGAGTCTGCCATGCCATGAGGAAGCCCATGCAGCCCCGTGGAGAAGCCACGTGTGGTTGTTACTATCCATAAACCCAGCTGAAGTCCCGGCCAGCAACCAGCATTGACCATCAGCCATGGGAGACAAGACACCCAGATAATTTCAGCTCCTAACCACCAGTCACCCCTAGTGTTCCAGCCTTCCTAGTGGATCCCCTAGGCACTGTGAGACAGAGACTAGTCCCCCCTTGTGCCCTATCCAGCTGCCTCACCCACACTGTCTGAGAGCATAGGAGAATGGTTGTGTTAGGCCACCAAATTTGGGGTGATTCGCTCTGTAGCAAGGGTAACAGGAAAACCAAATCCTATACAGCAGGGAGTACATAGTAGGGCTCTTAATGAAAGGCAATTCTAGTCATTGACATCATTTTCTTCTCTAAATTAAACGTTGGGTATGACAGGAGGGGGTAAAATAGCGCTAAGGGACCTCCACCTCTAGGAGATGGAAGGGAGTAAATGCGTTCAGCTTTCACTCACTCACGCACCCACGCGAGTGACAGCTGGAGGTTTACGAGATAGCGAAGTGCCAGGCATGTGGCTGGGTGCGGGGCGATGCCGACAAAGAGGCACCTGGACTCTCCCCACGAGGCGTCCAGTGGGGCAGAAAGATCAGCAAGTGAAGAAATGAATAAGAAAAGGGCAATTCTGTGAAGAAGCCACCTAGGATCATGGGTTAGGGGGTGGGGAAACGACCAGAAGCTTTGACTAGCCACCGGGAGCGCTTGAGAGCTGGTGCCTGTACCAAGTGTCAAGGAAGCTCAAGAAAACTGCCGATTCCCGTGCCTCGTGTTTGCAAGTTCTGCTTCCCTGGGGCTCATGCAGTGGTCTCTCTGCCACCGTTCTGTCGAGGGTTGCACAGGACTAAAAGCTCTTTGAGGCCGGGGCCCCCACCCCTGCTTGGTCACGGCCATGCCCTGCAGCCCAGGGCAGATTTTGTCCCAGGGTAGACATTCATTTCAACAGTTTCAAATGTACTTTTGAACACTTGTCAAGAATCTTCAGAAATTCCATATGAAGAAATACAGGGACACTGTGTCACATATAAAGCCTATGTGCCTATAACGTGTATTCGATATGTAAAGTATTTAATTTAGGAACTACGTAGGTAACATTAACTCCTTGAATTTGGACTCCTTGAACAGAATTCCTTGAATTTTATAACGGACACGTTTTTGTGCCAGTTAAAAATATTAATTTGTCGTTACATAATAACAAAGGCATAAAATCTCCTACAAAGTATGGTGTCACAGATACAAATGAAATTCCATTTAGCACCTTCCTCTCCATGATGCCTCCCCCTTAGTGTGGTAACCTCTGCATCACTTTGCTTTCTCTTGGGATTTTCTGAAGATTTTCATGTACATGTCTGTGCCCACGGAACACACAAAATACTGTTTTGTGCTTTTAGAACCTTGTGGTGGTTAAAAAAGGCCTCCTTTGGTTAAGTCCTGTTTCTGCAACTTGCTTCTTTTCCCCCTCAAAAATCTGTCTTGAGGACTTGTACATGTGGGCCCACAGGGATCCTTCTTATTCTTTTCTTTTTTTTTTTTTTATTATTTTTTTTTAAATTTTTTTTTCAACG